GTAATAAATTATTGTTATTTTTCTTTGATTTGCCAGTAATAAAACGGAGATTTTTGTGTCTTGATTTAGTTTTTATGTAAATTAATCGTCTACCACACATATATCCCTTTATAATTTACCGTTATCCCATCATGTCCTTTCACCATATATGGGATTTGTGTTATCATGACATGTAAGGCATTGATCAATTATACTTGCTATCTAATTGCTAAACTGCACTAATTAATTTTCTTCAGATCGTCAACTCATAATTGGGCAGCGACTTCTGAGGTCGGGGCTCAGCTCAAGCCGGCACGTCTCCATCGACGTATCCTAGCTTATCCCCGTTTTTTTTCATTGCCTCTTTATCACCGCGTTGATATCGCATCGAATAAGCAATTATCCAGTGTCACTGGTCTCCAGGGTCTAAGCGCTGCCTCTGAGCAATGCTGGATGTCTAATCCATTGCGCCCAACTTCGAGGGCCTTAAACGAGGCTCCATCTCAGTATTCGTTCCAAAACTCGGCCAGTTTGTCCGTAAGCTTCTTTCGTTGCCTAGATAACGCCCGTCGGCGATTGGACGAACGCAAAATGGCTGCATGTGTTTGGCGTCTTTCTTACTGTCCGCCTGCGTTCCAGTTACCCAGCGCGCTAGAATGGGAAATGCGATATGCCGATTACCGGCCATATAACCTACCATTAACTAGGCTCTCCTTGAGAAAAAAACTCGCAACCTTCGACTTGCCTATTGATACAGTCGCTGAATCGCGGAAGTTGAGTTCTACAGCTACAGCTGACTCTGAATCTAATCGCTTATCTCCCGCATCATCTACTAACATCAACCACTCTGCTTTTAGTGACGAACATATTCAAATACAAATAGGAGAAATTAAGAACCCATCGACTACAAAAAATGTTTATTCCTCCTATCAAGTGGCGTTTCTCGACGATGATGACTATTATGATGATGAATATATTCTGAGTTCTGAAAAAGCAGTAGATATTACCAGTGCTGGTATCAACTTGTCGATACCTCAAAACACTAATGAGGCGAAATTATCCCATTCGTCTATTACATTTACGGGAACCGGAATAAAGCATTATAAATCTGAAAACCCATCTATCGTCACCGACCGAACCTTTTATGCTGACCTTGAGGCTGACATCTCAAGCGACAAATTATCTACGCCTAGTAACGCTGATTATTTGTCCATAGCATCACCTCACGATACCGTAAAAATTTCCATGATGGAGTCTCTCTCGAGCGCCGGGCGCCGACTTGCAGATTCTGAAGACCTAGACAAATTCATTGACTTGCTGAATGTCCTGCCATTGACTACCTGGTCTCAAAGCGTCAGTTTGATGACAGAAGATTTGGGGTCCATTCAGTTTGGAATATCACCTCCGCCTATAGACTCAGTCTTCCTAAGTCATTTAGACTGGCTTATAGCAGATCACACGTCCTTGTGTGTTTTTTGGATTTTTTTCTAACTTTAATAATCAATCTATAATTTTCATCTATGTTGCTAAATTGTATTATGTGCTACATGAATTAATTTCTTCATTTTGTTATACGATAAAACCATTTAGATAAGTTATTAGGTCAGTTCAGTATTGTATATACTTAGGCAACTGCCTTTAGTATTTATATTTTCGTAAGTGTTCCTCCTTATTTCTTCCATGATTCTATATTTGGGATTTTACCCTTCATTTTATTTTCCTATTTTTCTCTCTAATCCTAGGTTTCTGAATCAGATTACCTTACAGGGATGCATTTTGTGATTTTTCACCCAAGCTCCTTCATTTTCTTTAGGCTAAGTAGCTAAGTTACTCAGATTTTACACCTAACAACGTCACAACCCAACACTTCGAATTCGATGTGCTCAAGTTACTTAATGCTATACATGGTTACTGAATCTATGAAGCTTCTTTCTCTCAGTATTACGCTTTCCAGAGTTTTTTTTCTACTTCTTGTTATACCTTTCCTACAGACCTTTATTGATCAGAAATATCTTTTTACTCAAATCTTCAGGTTAGAAACTTTGGATAAGTGAAGCGTTGTGTTATTGATGCTTGTTTACTATTTATATTGCCAATCCATATTTATAATATTTTATTTATTTCTTCAGTAGCACCACATTATTCTTTTGAGTTCACTTCTTTATTCTTTACATCTTTGTTCCATATTCCAAACCTTAGAACCTCTCGCAAGAATTCTACAACATCTCAGCTCTCATCTCTACAGATTGAAAATATTCACTCCGAAAAGTTATTTCCTCGGATTTTTGAGGCAGCATGCTCCTCGACTGATCATGCCTCGTACCACTCAGTAAAACGCCGACATATCTCACTTAATAAGTATAATGACACGCATTTATTCGACCAGACCATTAGAAGGGATCAGTGCCCAAGGTATCAGAATGACAGTTCCACTTTTGCTGGTGGGCTTGGTAAGTATTCCTAGGTGTATATATATAACCTCCTATACACTAGCGAATCAGTTTAAAAGGTATAGAATACGGTCTATCAAGCATCTTGATATAATGAATATGCATTCGCTTGCTTGTATTATATTAATAATTAACTAATTGTCTATGATCTAGCATGAGGGCCGACGAAAAAAACTGGGGAAAATATTCAACTGATAGATAGAACTTTTTAAGAGGGTCTGGAATCATTCGCTTATTTTACATCACCTAGGCTTGCCACTACTATTCTTTGTGTTTAAAATATTAGCTTATGGAATATCTAAGTTAATGACAGCTAATGGAATATTTTGTTTATAAGTATGCTTTAGAGAGACTACCAGTAGATTTAATGTTTGGAAGGTCTAGGCTTCTTTGAAATTCACTTCTACCCCGTGATCCAAAGGCACTCATTGCAGTGGCGTAGTGTTTAACGTGTCGAGATTATATACTGCACTAGCATAGTTCGAATCCCGCTGGGGGTGCTGATGGGAGATAGACGAGATTGGTACTGCAATCCAGTTCAGCTTGGATGAGAATACCTTTCGGGAAGCAAGTTTAAGTAAAATTAAATGGAAACGTAATGTCTATTTTTTCATTGTAGGATAATTCATCCACCAATCCTTCATCACTTTAAAGGAAATAGAATGAATACATCTCATATAATCGATTTGTTTCATACTCTGGTATGCCATCTAAATGAAGTATTATGCATTATTGGCCAAAATCTTATATCTTCCTTATCAAAATATATTGTATTAATCGTAGGTATGAAGGCCATTATGGTGTAGTCTTTAGTATGGTCGCGGTCTTTTTTCGTTGTATTCAATTTGTTTGACCTTTTTTCGTAACTTGGTTGTATTGTCAAAGCGACCTAAAGGAACGCGTTTTGTCTGGAGTCGGACCGTGGACTTGTTACATTTCCAGAAGTTTCGTAGTCGGCATCGCCAGAAAGCTTTGTCAATTATAGCACCAGACTACAATTCGTCAAAGAGACAAATTAAGTCGATCCTTTGACCAATTATCCACTAAACAATTATTTTATCTCTCCTGTCCTGGAGTATTCACCTATCCTATATACGCGTAACATTCCTTCACCTGATTAGAGATAGTTGGCTAATAATATACGCGTTCATCATAGACGTGGTACATAAATTAAAGCATCTACCATGATATTTACCCGATGCACATGCCGAACGGTGATATGGGGATCTATTACAGTTACTTAGTTTCCCATCTAGCCTAAGAATTCAGACGCTTAAGTGTGTAACAGCGCCTCGAGTAGCATAGATCTAGTGTAGGTAATCGAATCAAATCACCGGACCACGTAGGTAAGAGACGGTTCCTACGGGGCAAAAGGGAGACTAATAGGAAGAGGGTTGCAGACTTGGATCAACGTTTTCAGCACACTTGAAGGCATAAGGAAGATTGTGGGGAGTGTGAATACGTCCAATTAAATCCGCTTAAAAGTGCATACCGGAACTTGGTTAATGTAAGCAGGTAAGAAATTGTGATAGTAAAAAAGTGTTACGAGAATATAGGATGGGTGAATACACAAAGACAGGACAGGCCAAAAGATTGACTTCACTTGACAAGTTGTCATGTGGTGCTAAGATTTGCAGGGCTCACTGACGATGCCGGCTCAACATCTGTGAATGTACGAAGTCCACGTCCAACAGAAAATGAGCATGAATACTATGAACTCTAGACAAGACGCTTTCATATCGGCCTTTCTGCTAATATTACCAAGTTGAGAAAACAGGTTCAAATAACTTGTGTATTTTATTAGTCTAAATTTCGGAAATGATGCAGATCTTTTAGGTTTTTATCACATTTAATAAATTTATAATTTGCCGATCCTATGCAGTTTAATTGACAAACATCATTTTTTGTGCATACATTAAGTCCTGAGTTTAATTCCAGGGCTTGTACGTATCATTAGCACTCACTTATTCTTAACCACTAATATTAAAGAAGTTGTTTGACCCTGTTTTCGCAACTTGGCCATATTGGTAGAAAGACTTAGAGGAATGCACCTAGTCCGGAGTCCATTGTATGCATGATAATTTCTAAAGTCGGACCGTGGACGTGGTACATTCTCAGACGTTTCGCCGGCATCGTGGTCAGCATCGTTAGTGATTCTTGCTATTCTTAGCACCATACTTCAACTCGTCAAAGAGACAAGTGAAGCTCATCCTTTGACCAAATGTAGGCTAAACGGTTATGGTATCTTTCATATATCCTCTTATCACGCCTTCACTATCACAATTTTTCCTTTTTCATTACTTACTTAAATGTAGTGTGGTGTGCCCTTTTAAACGGCTTTCATGAGAACCCTCCACAATCTACGCTGTCGTTCTCACCCTCCTTCACTCTTGTGCTGGGAATGCTGATCAGAGTCTGTCATATTGTTACGCAGTCCTTCCCTAGGTCTTATCAGAGTCTCCCTCGTGTTCCGTAGGATCCGTCTCCTAGCTCCCTGGTTCAGGTATTTTACTCGACCCCTGCCACCCCATCTGTGCTACTCGAGACGTTATTATATCTCTCCTGCATCTGGGTGACTAATTCGAGGTTAAAGCCTCTGAGTAATTCTCATGATCAAGCTTTATTAGGTTCAATGTTGAACCACAATGTTTATGGGTTGGCACACAAGAGACTAGGGCATAGCAAGTCATATACTTGGTATTACGGATAGCAACAGAATAGACGCGACGGAGACTGGAGCTAGTTGATTGAGAGTAGGCCTGTTTTTCCATAGACGTGCATGTAGCAAAGGCTCGACCATGAGAATTACTTAGAGGCTTTAGCCTTGAATTAGCCACTCAGACGCAGTATATAGGTAATAACACCTCGAGTAGCACAGAGGGGGTGGCAGGGGTCGAGTGAAATACCTGAACCAGGGAGATAGCAGACGGATCCTACGGGGCAAGAGGGAGACTGATGTGACCTAGGGAAGATGGACCGCGTAGCAATATGACAGATTCTGATCAAAATTCCCAGCACAAGGGTGAAGAGGGGTGAGAACGCCAGCGTGGAGTTTGGAGGGTTCTCATGAAGCCCGCTCAAAAGGGCACACCACGCTACATTTAAATGTGCAAGGAAAAAAAGAAGAAAATCGTGATGGTGAAGGTGTGATACGAGATTATAGGAAATGTGAATAGCTCACGACAGATGGAGAGATATCACAACTTTTTAATACACATTTGGTAAAACGATCATCTTCACTTGTCTCTTTGACGAGTTGTAGTATGGTGTTAAGAATTGCAGACTCACTGACGAAGCCGACGAAACTTCTTGGAATGTACCACGTCCATGGTCCGACTGGAAATTATCATGCATAAAATGGACTCTGGACTTGGTGCGTTCCTTAAAGTCTTCCTACCAATATGACCAAGTTGCAAAAACAAGGTCAAATAGCTTCTATACAAAGAAAAGAAACTGCAACCACACAAAAGGCAGTACCATCTTGGTCTTCATATCTTCGATTAATACTCCATTAAACCCACGAATAATGCTTAAGAACAAGGGTTATCCATGAAACGAGACTGCTATCAAAACAGTGTCCACCACATTATAGTCTTCATATTCCCGTAAATCGGCCTGATATTTACAAATTTTTTTTAGCTATATTGCATTTTTTTACCATTCTAAAGGCATTTTTATATATAAATAAATTAATAATATTTCAAACGAGTTAAAAGTAATATAAAAAGTGTAAAATAGTCTTCATTTAAGTTTGACATAGGACATCGAGACAGTTATGCCAGCCATCTTAAAACAGAGATCTTGTAGAATGCCTGCTGTCTGCATTTCCTGCCATAGATGTCATGATAATTTACTGATTCGGATTGTTGATATATCACAATTTATGATGTTTCGCTGGAATCATAGTCGAAAAATCTATTAGGAGGCCGAACCGTTAGAACTAAATCACAACTCCTCAACGCATCAAGATAATGGAATCCTCTTGAGTGCTTTTCAACTCAGCTATTTTGGGCCTATTACTTAATATGGTAAATTTACCCA